ACCCCCATCTCCGCCTCCTACACGAAATATGATGCTGGTCGTGACGTCACAAGTAAACATTGATTCTGATTGGCTTAAAGTGTAAGCAATCCAATCAATATTATTCACCGAGGGAGTAAATATGTAAGCGTTGGTGAAGTAGGATAGTGGCGGGCGTGACCAGGTCTTAAGTAGGGAGTGACCAGCCCGTGACCACGGCACGGCCAGCCCCTGACCACGGCACGGCCAGCCCGTGAGCACGGCACGACCAGCCCGTGACCACGGCACGACCAGCCCGTGACCACGGCACGACCAAGGGGAGTGTGGTGAAGCTGCCCGACCCTGTAACACGCACTCTTGAGGGAGGCGAGGCGAGTGAAGGCGAGAATTATTATTATAACATCCATACTGGCAATATTTATTTACAATTTTGTCTAATCTGAGCCTGAGAGCGAGGTCAGGGGAGAGTGAGGACGCTATTCATGTCCACTGTCGCAGGGGACAGTGGATCGATCATACGTGAGACAAGTGGTCTACACTACGCTGGACGCGTTCTAGTGAATTTATATCCATTCTATAGTACGGCGACCAAAACTGGACTGCATAGTCTAAATGGGGCCTAACCAGAGCAAGATATAGCAGAAGAACAACACCAGGTGTCTTGTTAGTAACACTTCGATTAATAAATTCCAGTGTCCTAATTTGCCTTATTACGAACATTTATGCATTAATTTTGTTTTGTTTTAAATTCTTACTAATCATAACTCCCAGATCCCTTTCGCAATCCGACTTCGCAATCTCAACACCATCTAGCTCGTATCTTGTAACTCTATCATCATTACCTAGCCTCAAAACTTTACATTTATCAGCATTAAACTGCATCTGCCAATCTTTTGACCATTTCAAAACCCTATTTAGATCGTCTTGAAGTGATAGTGAGTCTTTTTCCGTGTTTATTTCCCTCCCGATTTTTGTATCATCGGCAAATTTGCAAATATTGCTGCTCAAACCTGAATCTAAATCATTTATATATATTATAAACAACAGAGGTCCCAGGACAGAGCCTTGAGGCACTCCACTTACAACATTTTCCCACTCTGACTTAACCCCATTTATACTAACTCTGTTTCCTTTGGTATAGCCATGCCCTAATCCAACTTAATATAGCACCCCCAATACCATGAGCCTCTATCTTTTTAATCAGTCTTTCATGTGGCACTGTATCAAAAGCTTTGCTAAAGTCAAGGTACACAACATCACAAACCTTACCACTATCAACTGCCTCAACTATGCTGGAATAAAATGATAGCAAATTTGTTAAACATGAACGGCCATTTGTAAAACCATGTTGTGAATCATTTATTAATTTATGTTTTTCAAGATGAAGACGAATGGTATTTGCAATTATCGATTCAAGTAACTTTCCCACAATAGACGTTAGGCTAATTGGCCGATAGTTTGATGCAAGTGATCTATCTCCTTTCTTAAAAATTGGTACCACATTAGCAACCTTCCACGACTCTGGCACTCTGCCTGACTCTAATGATTTATTAAATATGGTAGACAGTGGCTCGCAAAGCTCCTCTTTGCATTCTTTAAGCACCCTGGCAAACACTTCATCCGGCCCTGGGGATTTGTTTGGTTTGAGTTTCACTATTTGTTTAATAACATCCTCCCTGGTAACTGCTAAACTAGTCAACCTGTCCTCGTCCCCACCCACATAGACTTGTTTGGCTGAAGGCATAGTGTTAAGTTCCTCTTTAGTAAATACAGAGATAAAATATTTATTAAAAATACTACTCATCTCTTCGTCATTATCCGTTATCTGACCTGTCTCAGTTTTTAATGGACCTATCCTTTCCCTAATCTTTGTTCGATATAACTGAAAAAAAACTTTAGGATTTGTCTTTGCTTGCCCTGCTATGCGAACTTCATAGTTTCTTTTTGCCCTCCTTATCTCTTTTTTTTAACATTTCTAACCAGTTGTACGAATTCTTGTTCTAAACTGACTTCCCCATTCTTAATCCTTTTGTACCAAGCTCTCTTTCTACCTATAAGGTTCTTCAGATCCTTTGTTATCCATTTCGGGTCATTAGTATTCGATCTATTCAATTTGTATGGTATACTACGTTCCTGTGCTTTGCTTAGAATATTTTTAAATAAGTTATATTTTGAATCCACATCGAAATCCCTTTTTACATCACCTATCGCTGGGTTCACGTCTCGCTCCAAGACCGGCCCACCCCCCATGCCCAAGACTTTCCAATCTATTTCACCCCAAAAATTTTTAGGCTATTAAAATCAGCTTTTCGAAAATCTGGCACTTTAACAGAATTTTCTCCTACAGATCTATTCCATTCTATGCTAAATCTGATTTCTTTGTGATCACTGTTCCCTAGCTCACTCCCTATTTCGATGTCATTAATTTGTGTTTCCCTGTTAGTTAACACTAAATCTAAAATATTATTTTCCCGCGTTGGTTCCTTAATGTGTTGCGTAAGAAAGCAATCGTCAATTAATTCTAGAAAATCTTCTGCTTCATTATTCCCTGTTCTGTTAAACCAGTTTATTCCACTAAAATTAAAGTCACCCATGACACAAATACTGTTAGACCTAGATGCTCTAGATATTTCATCCCATAGATGCTTTGCTTCCATTCTGTCTAAGTTTGGTGGCCTGTATATAACTCCTATTATAAGATTATTTGCTTTTTCGTTTAATTCTATCCAAATAGTTTCTGTGTGTGGCTCAGTTTTGATTCCCTCTTTGAGACTACATTTCAAATTTTCCCTAACATATATGGCTACTCCCCCTCCTCGTCTAATATATCTATCTGTGTGAAATAGTTTAAATCCATTTATTTGATATTCAGCTAATAGTTCTCTATTTTCTACATTCATCCACGTTTCGGTAAGTGCAATAATATCTATTTTTTCTGTGCAGACAAGAGCATTTAAATCGTTTATTTTGTTTCTTAGACTTCTACTGTTAGTGTAATATACCCTAAGTGTATTGTTATTTTGAGGCCCTTCTCTTTCCCTGATCATTTTGCCAATTTGTTTCCCCCACAAACACATACTTTTATTACCTCCTTTCTCCATATCAATTCCCATACCACTATCTACTAACAGTTTAAACCCAAACAAACATGCCTCCAACCACAGGTTCCAACGAGTTGGCAACAGCAACAACCCCAGCCCTCGATAGATGCACCCCATCCCGAGCATACATGTCATTTCTTCCATAGAAGTGTTCCCAGTTATCTATGAATGATATTGCATTTGATTTGCAATATTTGTCCAGTCGGCAATTGACACCAAGTGCCCTCGACAACCATTCATTTCCAACTCCCTTTCTTGGAAGAATGCCACATATGATCGGGATTCCTCCCTTGCTCCTAACTAATTCTATGGCTGTCTTAAACCTCTGTATCAGTTCCTCACTCCTAACTCGTCCAACATCATTTCCACCTGCACTGATACAAATAATGGGTTTGTTCCCATTTCCAGCCATAATATCATTCATGTTGTTAACAATATCACCAATTCCAGCTCCCGGATAGCAAACCCTTAACCTGTTCCCCCTATCTCTGGCACAAAAAGTTCTATCCAAATACCTCACCTGGGAATCTCCCACAACCAAAATTCGCTTAGGTACTTCCTTTACTTTCTGAGCACCTTGAGGGACCTGCGCTCCGTTCCTCTTCGTTGCTTTACCTTTTGAACGAACTGCAGGCTGACCACAGCACTCGTCCTCCAACACGGCAAATGAGTTAGAAGTCTAGGATATCAGTAGTCGGCTTAATCAAGGTCTTCTTAAGACCCCTGTCCTTTACGACTTGCCAAGACGAGGACTTTTTACTGCTGGTCTCCTCCTTTGTTTCTTCTTGACTTTGTTTCAGCTGTCGTAGCTCCTCCCGCAGGGAATCCAACTCTGTCCTCAGAGCTCCACATAGATTCATCAGTTCCTTCACTAGTTCCTTCCATACATTTCCATTTTCAATATCAGACAATTGGAGCTCCAGCTAACACACCCTCTCACAGTTTGATTAGCTTTTCTGACTGTTACTCATACCCACTTGTTGTACAACTTTTAGTGAGTGGTGGATCTTGACTCCAAGGTCCCTTTCTTCATCAATCTGCTGCAATGTAATGCTATTAATTTGGTAGTCGTGGTGTGGGTTGTTATGCCTCACATGGATGGTCTTGCATTTGGCAATATTAAAAATCATTTGCCAGTCTTCTGACCATTTGTGGAGTTCATGTAGATTTATTTTTATTTATTTTTATTTATATAAAAGAAGGTACATTGGATTTGTGAGGATACATAACATAGTATTTACAATCTTGTAAAGCCACTAGTACGCGCATCGTTTCGGGCAGGTCCTTAATCTAACAGATAATTTTAAGTAATGTAATTTTAGTAATTTTAAGTAATTTTAAGTAGATCTCTTTGTAAGGCTTCATTATCATTACCCGCTTTACCATAAATCTTTGTGTCATCTGAAAATTTGATGATGTGGTTTGTAATATTCTCATCTATGTCATTGATGTATATGACATAAAGTTTAGGCTCCAAAATGGACCCCTGTGGTACCCCACTTATCACATTTCTCACTCGGATTCGTTCCCATTTAGCACGACCCTTTTTCTTTCTTTCAACCATTCTCTTATCCATTCAAGTATTTTACCATTTATTCCAATGGTAACGCAAGTATTTACGAACCTGTACAACTTTTAGCAACCTTTGGGGGCTTTGTTTACATATATTAAACAGTGTCTGAGCTCCAAAACACTAGGAGGCTGTTTATAACAATAACAACATTTGACTGTGAAGTTTCAGTGCTGGTAAACAGTTAAATAAAAGTAAACAAAGCCACCAAAGATTGAGGAAAGATGCTCAGGGTCGTAAGTAGATGCGTATATGCTTGATGAATCTTGGCCCTGGTGTAGGAATTCTGTACGTAAGTAAATTTGTAATCACTTTGTATGTGTGTAGTGTAACGTGTTGCCTTGTTGCAGATCGTGACCACAGACAGAGATATTATGAAGAAGGAGCTGAAGAAGGTGACACGTGAGAGGGATGAGGCCCTGGGCAGATTAGCTGGTGGACTCCACCATACAGACCAGCCTGCCAACTATGGTATGTCTACCAGCCTTGCATATTATGGTATGAACACAAGCTTTTAATACACGTACATCCCACTCTTCATTATGAATGTTCTTCTGTGTGTACTGCATCCCTCTGTAACTATTTCCCTTAACCAGCAATCTTGACCTCAGCCCTTAACCAGCAATCTTTACCTCAGCCCTTGACCTTCATCCTTTACCCCAGCCCTTAACCTTCAACGTTTACCCCAGCCCTTAACCTCCAACCTTTACCCCAGCCCTTAACCTTCAACGTTTACACCTGCCCTTGACCTTCAACCTTTAGCCAGTTGGTCTCGAGTGTCGAGTGTGGATCTGGTGGTCATTTTCGTGAGTGAGGGGGACGCCATGGGTCACTGTGTGTGTGCTCGTAACCCCCATATAACGCTATGCGCAGTATGTGTCCGTCACTGGTCCGTGGCCTCCGGGCTAACTTTTCTCCCCGACACATTAGTTTAGCTCATATATTGCGCACCCCCATACCCATGCTGCGGGTGGTGGAGGATAAATAATACACATGATGGGCACAGCAACTGAGCCCCAAATTTCAATTTAGCTCAGCATCAAGCTAGCTACAGCTTTTAGAGCGTCGGGATACGGCCCCGTGCTTTAGCTACCCCTAACCCAATAACAACAACAACGACCTCCTTGGTCGTCTTGAGACGATGTGTTGAGACAGGAACATGGTAAAGTAGCTGTACTGTGTGTGTAGTGGGAGAAAGAGGCAACTGGAGCTGGGAACTGGAAGAGAGCCTCGGCCTCAACCACATGGTCAGTATGACTTAGATCCAGCTGTTTCCTCACACTCGTTCAACGACAAGTTTAACCAAAATGTAAATACGGGTTTGTGCTAGTGGCTGTCCACATGATACTGTACGCGTTTATGAGTGATTACGTGCACGGAGGAATTTTAATCGGTAGTAATCTGAGGTAGTTCCTTGGACATAGTGAATGTGACTAGGACGTAACTGGACCTGAATTCCCAGAAACATCTGCCTCTGAATGGATTATTATAGTTTTGTTGGGCACAGGAAACCTCTGTGTGTATGCCTGTGTGTGTGCTGTCATATTCAATATATAATATAATTGAATATGACAGCATATTCCGTATTTACTATTTTCTGATTTAGGGCTTCTATCCCTCTTACTAATGCTCTTGCATCAGGGTTCAGCTGGAAGAGGAGTTCACCAAAAGTCATGTTGTTTTCAAGGTGAAGAAAAGAATTGAATAACCGAAGAATGTATTACACTTATTATAAAATCACACAACGTTTCGAACCTACATGATTCATTCTCAAGTGATAAGAAATTACAGATCTCGTTAGATTTATACTAGTACAGGGTCAGGTGAGAGAACAAGTAGAATAAAGGAAAAGGTCAGGGGATAAATAGGGAATAAATAGGGAATAGAGGATAAATAGGGGATAATAGGGGACGAAGCACATACAAAGATTAATCGGATGTAATAGGCCAAGTATGTTGAGCAGTGTCTTCTGTGTTGGCATCGTTATGTTCCGGTCTTGTCCTTACCCTCATGGTGGGTAGAGTAAATAGTTCCGTGATTTGGGTATTCATGGCAGGTTGTTCAATTTTTATGTGGATTGCTTCAAGAATTTGTAATCTTCTTACATCTTGGGTTTTGTCTATTATACAAGTGTTTTTATTCAGCATTTCTCTTGTTAGCGTAATGCCATGGGCTTGTCTCTTGGATTCCTAGGGGCACCGGATTGAAGATGACAGGTCAAACGCCTCGTCAGTTTGGTCGACGTCATACCTATGTACCTGTACTTTGATTGAAGGTTACATCCTTCGTGGGGGCAAGTGTACATGTACACAACGCTTGACTGCTGTAAAGGGTTCCCCGTCGGCTTCGGGCTATTTTTAATAAGGAGGTCGGTAGTCTTCTTTGTTTTATAGAATATGATCAGGTCTGTTTTGGTTAGGAATAGTGCTTTTTACTTTTTTACGAATTATTTCCTTCATACCTGTAGTTTTTTCTTTTTTTTTATGTTCACTATGCATAGTTGATTTGTAATATAATTTTATTGGAGGTGTTGTGGTTTCTGTTCTAGGATAGGTTTGTGGTTTCTGTTCCGGATTGTACCATCGGTCCAGGCGTCTTCTTATTGCGGTGTTTATTTCCGTGTTGCTATATCCATTGTTCACCAATAGCTGAGTTATTCTTTCAAACTCTCTACTCACATTGCTCCATTCAGAGCAGAGTGTGTGTAAGCAATTGATGAATATAAGCATTGAGAACACTGGTCTTGTATCCCTGGACACACACTCTTACCGTTCAGGCATAATCTTATGTTGGTAGGTTTCGTATATACAGTACGCTGGAGCTTAAAGAGGTTCCTGTTTTTGTTATTAGAAACCACAACACCTCCAATAAAATTATATTACAAATCAACTATGCATAGTGAACATAAAAAAGAAGAATGAATTATGAAGGAAATATTTCGTAAAGGAGTAAAAAGCACTATTCCTAACCAAAACAGACCTGATCATATTCTATAAAACAAAGAAGACTACCGACCTCCTTATTAAAAATAGCCCGAAGCCGACGGGGAACCCTTTACAGCAGTCAAGCATTGTGTACATATACACTTGCCCCCACGAAGGATGTAACCTTCAATCAAAGTACAGGTACATAGGTATGACGTCGACCAAACTGACGAGGCGTTTGACCTGTCATCTTCAATCCGGTGCCCCTAGGAATCCATGAGACAAGCCCATGGCATTACGCTAACAAGAGAAATGCTGAATAAAAACACTTGTATAATAGACAAAACCCAAGATGTAAGAAGATTACAAATTCTTGAAGCAATCCACATAAAAATTGAACAACCTGCCATGAATACCCAAATCACGGAACTATTTACTCTACCCACCATGAGGGTAAGGACAAGACCGGAACATAACGATGCCAACACAGAAGACACTGCTCAACATACTTGGCCTATTACATCCGATTAATCTTTGTATGTGCTTCGTCCCCTATTATCCCCTATTTATCCTCTATTCCCTATTTATTCCCTATTTATCCCCTATTTATCCCCTGACCTTTTCCTTTATTCTACTTGTTCTCTCACCTGACCCTGTACTAGTATAAATCTAACGAGATCTGTAATTTCTTATCACTTGAGAATGAATCCTGTAGGTTCGAAACGTACGATTTATAATAAGTGTAATACATTCTTCAGTTACTCAGTTGTTTTCTTCACCTTGAAAACTGCATGACTTTTGGTGAACTCCTCTTCCAGCTGAACCCTGATGCTAGATCATTAGTAAGAGGGATAGAAGCCCTAAATCAGAAAATAGTAAATACGGAATATGCTGTCATATTCAATGAGACATGCATAAAAGAAAACAAGCTGTCAGTATGCTTTAGCCTTGTATCAATGTTTCCCAGGGTTGAACTACTGGCCCTCCACAAGATACAACCTCATAACAGTTGCCTAACTCCTGGGTAATAGTTTACTGCTAGGTGAACAGAGGCATTATGTGAAAGGAAACGTGCCCAACCATTTCTGTCCCACTTGCGAATCTAACCTGGGATTCCCAGTTGTGAATCGAGACCAAAGCCAACTGTACTACAAATCAAAATCCCTGTTTCCAACCAGTATTTATCGAGGATTTTTCCTTGATCTAAACTTGCCCAATTGATATCCGTTGTTTCGTGTTGTATGTTGTGTTGATATATTTAATACCTTATTAATAGCCTCCTTGTTATGCCCATTCATTCACTTGTGCATTCAATCGTGTCACTCCTAACTCTGCCTTTCTAGAGAATGTAAATTAAGCTTTTGCAATCTCTTCATATGGCATGTTTCTAATTTGTGAGATTAACTTTGTCACTCTTTGCTTAATGCATTCAAGTGAATTTATATTCATTCTATATTGTGATAAAAATTGAATTGTATAATCTAAATGGTGGCATAATAAGCAATCCGTCCTCTTAAAAATAATATTGCTTTTCGTTCGTATGAGTGCTATGGCCAAAAATGGATATAATTTGAAATGAAATTGGCTCACGAAAGTGATGTACTGTACCATTTTTTGTTCGAGTCCTCTGGGGTTGCAACTGGGTTCTTACTCTGATGTTGTTAGAGGAAGGGTATCCGGCCCCAAGCCAGTAGTGGCTTTCAAGGGATGTGATCAGTAACGCAAGTAAAATAAAAGGGGAAGGGAAAGAAAGGCAAAAACTTAATATTATATAATGATCACCATCACCAATAAATATATATAAACGATTACACGGGGGGGGGGTATAAACACTATACTACACTGTTGTCTTCTTCTGAAGACTCTGGATCCTCTCGATGCCAAGTTCTTGGTGCTCTCGTGGCCTCACGACGAATCCTTCGAAAAGCTGAGTCTACCCCGGCCACAGGCCAGCCAAAACACAGTTCCACTGGGGGCACCGCCGTGGAGGCCGTCAACCACAAGTCCAGCAGAACAGCTGGCAGGTTCTGGATCAGCAACGCTGGTCCGGCCACTCCACGAGCGATACTAGGGTAGCGCCCTAGTCAGGAGCCTCGAGTGATACCACAGATCACTCTCCTGTCCACAATACCCCAGTGGTTAAGCGTCTCCACCAGTCAGTCCCGGGTATGACAATCCTCAACTGCCGCTTCACAGACAGGGTAACACCACAGTGTTCATCCGGGAAGTGACTCACAGCTGCTGCAGCAAAACACTTGGTGTCGAGACGGCTGCCTTGGGTAGACTGACTCAACTTCCCTTACAGCAGTCCCAGGTCGACTCTGTAAGCAGACACGTCATCAATAACAGGGACACACTAAAGCACCTCACTTACAGGCTCAGACCCAAACGCCCACCTATCCACTCCATAGATGGCGTTGTTGTTTGAGCACCACCTCACCAGAGGTCAGCGGCGGCTGTGTTGTGAGCTGAACAGGACTGGAAACTGGCCCTCGTGGCCAGTACACCTCGTCCTCACCAGGTGTCGTCGTCCATTTGGAGGGGGTTTCGGGAGCTGACCCACAGATGGCGCGGTCGTCACTGCTCCGTGCTCGGACGTCGGGCTCGGGTCCGTAACACTTACTCACAAAAGTTAGGAGAGGAAAACTTTCAATTAACGTTTTTCATGATGTTTTGAAACTTTAAGAGAATTTCCTGCCCTCCTAACCCACCAGAGGACCCTTGACTTACTGTTTTGAAAAGAAAAATTGAAAATTTATTTTAAATTTGTTTCATTTTCATATTACGTCCATTTTCGGCCATACTGTACAGGCAAATGGCCAAATTCAGACGTAATTTGTAAGAGGACAGGTTGTAACAAGAACAAGATATGGCTGAAGAGTAACATTAGCCATTTTATATCTAATACTTTGAGAAATAAATCCCAGTATCCTATTTGTTATATTTTGAATATTGTATTTATATATTAATTTTTTGGCTTTAATTTCCTACAAACCTCTTTCACAATCTTTTTCAGATCTTTTTCACAATTTCAGTATTATTCAGATGGTATCTTGTAAATTTATCATTACCTAGCTTCAGAACCTTACATTTGCCAGTATTAAACTGTATCTGACATTTTTCGACCATTTCAAAAGTACAGTATTTATATAATTTTTTTAAGTGATTTTAAGTATTCTAAATTTATTTTCCAACCAATTTTTGTATAATTTGCAAATATCTCGGTCGCTTGGCGATCATCAGACAAAGTTTAATTTACATTAAGCTTTAATGTTGTTAAACAGTCACAAGCAAAGTTTCTGCAGGCAATTTCTTCCAAGCATAGAGAATGTCAGGCTGCCTATAGATGCATCTTGTGACAACTGCATTTAGAGTCTGTATTCTTTATCCAAACTTTTATCCTATGCTTCCATCTGCAGCATTTGCCCTGTAACCCATGCTTTTGTATGCAACTTTTATCCTATACTTAACTAGATGTCTGCAATACAATTCTTGCAGTATTGTTAGTAAAACATTTATTGTGTTGCTGTAATTATTAGTGAAATGTGCTTCAGTGCTATAGCCAATTCATTATAGAATTTATACTGTACAGTTATGGGGTATGTTTGCAAGAAAAAGGGGACTTAGAATAATTTAAACAGATATCTATAAAGAGAACACTTTGAATCTTGAAATTGCAGAATTGTAATACATTAGGACCCAGCATCTCTATAATTATAATACAATAGGACCCACTATGCAGAATTAAAATGGAGTAGCGCCTACCCACTGTAGAATTACCAGCACCTTGTGGTGCAGTCAAGTAGGTATTAAGCAGTGGTTAGCATCCTTTACACATAAATAAGAGGACCTTAGTCCAAACTCTTGGAAGGGTGGGACAGTTGAGAGGACCTGTAAGAGGGAAATCTTATAGTTTGCAAGCAAGAGTCCCAAGATTTCTACTCCTATTCCGTTTAGTGTGACAGTAAAATACATACAGGAAATAAGTAAGACACAACTTGATAACGGTCCAGCATGGACTGAAACGTCATTTCTTCATTTTCGAATTGTGGTTTGGTTTTCAAGTAAGACAAGCTGTAAAATTACAACACTGTAAGATCCATGAGATGTAGAATTGTAATACAGTAGAACCCCCCCATTACACTGACTGCTCCTTTGAGTCAGATCTGTGTGTTCTGTGCCACAATATGCCCGAGTTATTTATTGTATACTGTTCTGTATCTTGACGTGCATATTTGTTTAATCTTTGCAGGAAATAATGTAGTGCAAAAAATTGTTGTATATACAGTATAAGGCAACTTCTTGCCTTAGCCCTACAGCTTCAGCACTATCTTTTATCAGTCCTGTCCTTTCTGGGGTTGAAATGCAGTAAAAAAATTATTTTAAATTTTTATTGCTTATCTAGTGAAATAAAAAATCTGTCTTTCCAGCTATGCCATTAAAAAGAAAAAAAGAATGATGAATATAGCCACAAATTTTGTTTTTGTTTGTTGTAAAACAGAGATTAAACATACTGGTACAAATAATTAATTTTGTCAAGGGACAGGCAGCCAGTGTATACTATATACACATTAGGCTTATATAAATTTCTCCTCTAAGGTCAAACTACTGACCCTCCCAAGCATGCAACCTTACAGCAGGCTGACTAACTCTTGAGTACCTACGGTATTTACTGCTAGGTGAACAAGTGCATTAGGTGCTAGAAAACGTGCCCAACCATTTCTGTCCCGCTTGAGATTTGAACCCGGAATTGGCGATTGTGAGTCGAGAAACCTAAAGTAACCTAGGTAACCTAGAAACCAAGATACTGTATGTGTGTTCTTAATGGCATATTCTGGGCACTACAGTATTGTTATAAATATTGTACTGGCAATATTTTTGGGCAGTTTTTTTCCTCCATTATTATGTCTTATGAGAAGGTGGTGTATTCTTACTATACTGAGTATGTACCATGCAGTATATCTATTTATTTACAGTATATATTTGTTCTTCACTCCATGAAAGTGGGAATTGTAATATAGTATGCAAATTTATGTAGAACTTAAACTATCAAGTGTTTCAGACAGTACTTTTCAAAATATTGAATTTTAATTGCAGGAACTTTAACAAAGGGTGGTGGATCTCTCGGTGATAAAAGCTTGGGCTCCTCCCGAGATTATGAGAGTCTTAAAATGCAGTGTGAGAAAGCTATGGCAGAAGTACAAGGGCTCCTCAAGTAAGTCCACAGTAGTGAAAACAAGTTCTTGTAAATCATTTATTTATTTGAGTGATTATATCTATCAGTTCTGTATTGCCCACATATTTAGAAGAAGAAATGTTTGCATATGCACAAAAACAAACAGTACAGTATTTCTACCTGGGAACAAAAGAAACATTAAATTGCACTGCTCCACCTAAGAATTTTATAAATAATCTTAAATCATGAAAAAGTATATGGTATGGTATTAGTGTGTAGTTGTAGTTACAGGTAGAAAGCTATGTGTATGGCATCTTGTGTTCCTTGTATATTTTATCATAAATATTGTGGTTTTTAACAATTTCAATGGTTTTAATGTATACAATCTCCTCATAGTGTTTACTCCAACCTTCCTCATTTTTATTATTAAACAAAATGCCTTCTCTAATCCTTTCTGCAATATTTTTCTAGTTATATAACTGACTTAGTAATTGTTATATCCCTAGATCTTTTTCTTTATCAGAGTCTTTCCGAATTTTGTGACACAATTTCTAGTTCTCTTGAGGTAGGTCTCTTCCCACTCTTTTTTCCATTGTGGCATTTGTCATTTTTTTTTTTCCATTTTTCTCTCCTTTCACTTCTTTTATTCAAATTTAATTGATGGATCTTGTCATTCTGATAATTTACTGTATTTTATGTAAACATGTTCATGGTAATTACACGTATGTCATCTAACAAATCATTAATATACAGTATACAGGTATTAGTATATTAATGAACATAATTGGACCAGAACTATGGCTTGGTTAGCTTTCTTTGTACAGTAGTTCTTTGCCCCATTGCTTTTCCATGTTGCCATGTTGAAATGTTGTCTGGCTTTGTTGTTCACCATAATTATCAGAAGGTCAAACAAGGTAGGTTTTGATCACGTTGGCTTAGGTGGCTTATTGAAGCCCCCTGGCTTTGCTTTTGCTGGTTGCATCACCTTTGGCATTATGTATAATTGCAAGCCTGCTTTATCTGCTTACAATCTTCATGAGGGTGTGGTGAGGGGCCCCACCAGTCCTTGGCTGTTTGGCCGAGCTGTCTTTTTGGACATCTCTTAAGGACAATGCATGTGTGCTGTCAGCTTTCTCTTTTGATGGGGTTGTGATGCCTTTACCCTGCCTTGCCACCCTGCTGGTTGTCATGTCGCCTTGCCAGGCTGCAGTCTCGGGCATCTGCCTTCAAACTCTCACCATGCTCACTACCAGCCTGTTTTTGTGCTATCAGTTATCTGGGGTGTTCTGCTGGGCTGGTTGGGCCCATATCCTGGTCTCTCACTTCGTCCCTTGCATTCCAAACACTCTTCACCAATGCGTGTGCCATATATTTCGTAGCTGGGATTATTTATCGTCCATGCCACCCACTTGGCAGTGGCACATTTTTGGGCACATGTCTTGTCCTTTAGGCCATTCCATGTCCCTATTCTTTATGGAGTGTGAGCTTGACTTTTGCCCTTGGCACAGAATTCCCTCTTATCTTCCTACTCTTGTGGTATGGAGGCTTTCCTCTGCCTTGGCCGCTTTTCCTTTGGCTTCAATTTTACTATGATGGTATTGGTACCAAAACATCCCGGGCTGGATTCTCCTAGGAGGTTTTCTGACTTTCCTCAGTGGATAGTTCATGTGGTTGTCACTCCCAGTCCAAGCCTGTTTTTGCTGAATGTTGCACCATTCATAATCCTGCCCACTTTTTTTGTGACTGGGCCGTCTGCTTTTGTGTCCCAGGAAGGTTTCCGCTCCTTTCTTGAAGTTTGATGATATCTTGGCTTTTCCACCGAACTATCTAGCTGGTTATTGGAGTTCCTCTTTACTGTTTTTGTTTTCCCTACCATTTTTATTGCTGCTCCAAGCAGAGGAGTAGCAATAACGAGGAACTTGTTCATTTGCATCAGGTTCCTGAGCTTTGTGAAGGTGTAGATTTCCTCCTCTTTGGCCAGTTGTGGTTATCTTCCAGCAATGTTTTGGTTTCATTCTGTGTGTACTTTTTGGTATGGATGTAGATATCCATGTTCTTTGCAGCATAGCTGGGCATATGCTGTCCTTTATTATTGCCCTATGTGGCCATGGTACCTGGTTCCAATTTCTGGTGGTTACATGATTTATTGCGATTCTGGCCACTTTTCAGCCACTAGTTCTAGGTTTCCATTTTTTTTACTGTTGCATTGCCTTTTGCAAAGCAGGTGTACTGCCTTATCTGGTTGTTTGGGATTTCTGACTTCCTGCCTTCTCACCCTCATTTGTCTCTCAAGCATGAGTTGTTCTGATTTTTTCATGGTCTACTGGTTCTTCAGTTCTTTATCCTGCGGTCCTTACCACAATGTCTGGTGGCTGCCCTAAAGGGCTTTCTAAAGGCTTCCTGGGCTTTGGGAATAGGCACACACTCTTCATATATGTCTGAACATGATCATGGAGATACTCATTTCCACTAATTCAAGAATGATATGTACCGGTGCATTATTTAATTTGTCAATTTACAAGTGTACTGTATGTATACCAAGTCCATTACTCTATTTTTGTTAATGTGAGATTTACTTCAGTGTAACATTTAGAAAAGCAAATTTGTAGGTGACATGCTAAATAAGTGTAATTTTTTATTAGGGTTTTCAAATTTCAAATCACTGTCTTTAAATAACAGTGTTGTAACTGATAAATGATTTCTCCCATAGGCAAAATATGGAGATTACTAGAAAGTATGAAAATACAATGAAAGAAGTAGATTACTATAGAAAGCAAGAGCGGGCAGCCTACACAGCTCTGCAGAACTTAAGAATGCAGTATGAGGAGGTATGTTCAGTTTATTACAAGTATTATTTTAAGAATATCTGTGTACTCACCTATTTGTACTCACCTATTTGTGCTTGCGGGGGTTGAGCTTTGGGTCTTTGGTCCCCGCCTCTCAACTGTCAATCGACTGGTGTACAGGTTCCTGAGCCTACTGGGCTCTATCATATCTACACTTGAAACTGTGTATGGAGTCAGCCTCCACCACTTCTTAATGCATTCCATTTGTCAACCACTCTGATACTAAAAAAGTTCTTTCTAATATCTCTGTGGCTCATTTGGGCACTCGGTTTCCACCTGTGTCCCCTTGTGCGTGTTCCCCTTGTGTTAAATAGCCTATCTTTATCTACCCTATTAATTCCTTTGAGAATCTTGAATGTGGTGATCATGTCCCCCCAAACTCTTCTGTCTTCCAGCGACGTGAGGTTTAGTTCCTGTAGTCTCTCCTCATAGCTCATACCTCTCAGCTCAGGTACTAGTTTGGTGGCAAACCTTTGAAACCTTTCCAGTTTAGTCTTATCCTTGACTAGATATGGTCTCCATGCTGGGGCTGCATACTCCAGGATTGGCCTGACATATGTGGTATACAAAGTTCTGAATGATTCCTTACACAAGTTTCTAAATGGCGTTCTTATGATGGCCAACCTGGCATATGCCGCTGATGTTATCCTCTTGATATGGGCTGCAGGGGACAGGTCTGGCGGATATCAACCCCCAAGTCTTTTTCTCTCTCTGACTCTTGAAGAATTTCATCTCCCAAATGATACCTTGTATCTGGCCTCCTGCTCCCTACACCTATCTTCATTATATTACATATGCTTGGGTTAAACTCTAACAACCATTTGTTCAACCATTCCTTTAGTTTGTCTAGGTCTTCTTGAAGCCTCAAGCAGTCCTCCTCTGTCTTAATCCTTCTCATAATTTTGGCATTGTCAGCAAACATCAAGAGAAATGACTATACCCAATGGGAGATCATTTACGTATACTGTATCAGAAACAGGATAGGACAGAGTAGAGTGTGTGTGTGTGTGTATAATTATCTAAGTGTAATTACCTAAGTAATTACACTTAAGTGTAGTTACAGGATGAGAGCTACGCTCGTGGTGTCCCGTCTTCCCAGCACTCTTTGTCATATAACACTTTGAAACTACTGACGGTTTTGGCCTCCGCCACCTTCTCACCTAACTTGTTCCAACTGTCTACCACTCTGTTTACAAAAGATAATTTTCTTATATTCCTCCGACAGCTTTGTTTAGTTAGTTTAACTCTATGATCTCTTGTTCTTGAAGTTCCGGGTCTCGGGAAATCTTCCCTATTGATTTTATCAATTCCTGTTACTATTTTGTACGTAGTGATCATATCACCTCTTTTTCTTCTGTCTTCTAGTTTTGGCATATTTAATGCCTCTAACCTCTCCTCATAGCTCTTGCCCTTCAGTTCTGCAAGCCACTTGGTAGCATGTCTTTGCACCTTTTCCAGTTTGTTGATGTGCTTCTTAAGATATGGGCACCACACAACCGCTGCATATTCTAGCTTTGGCCTAACAAAGGTCGTGAACAATTTCTTAAGTATTTCGCCATCCATATATTTAAAAGCAATTCAGAAGTTAGAAAGCGTGGCATAGGCTCCTCGCACAACATTCTTTATGTGGTCCTCAGGTGATAGTTTTCTATATAGAACCATCCCTAGATCTCTTTCTTTATCAGAATTCTTTAAAGATTTCTCACATAATTTATAGATTGTGTGGGGTCTATGTTCTCCTATTACACATTCCATAACATGGCATTTATTCACATTAAATTCCATTTGCCAAGTGTTGCTCAATATACTGTACTTATTTTGTCCAGGTCTTCTTGAAGGGCATGACAATCGTCTAGGTTTCTTATCTTCCCAATTATCTTAGCATCATCAGCGAACCTGTTCATATAATTCTGAATTCCAACTGGTAGATCGTTTATGTAGACAATGAACATTACCGGTGCAAGAACTGAACCCTGTAGAACTACTCGTGACATTCCTCCAATCCGATACCTTGCCTATGATTACGCCCATCATTTTTCTGTCAGTTAGGAAATTTTTCATTCATGTTAGAAGCTTACCTGTCACCCCTCCAATATGTTCCAGTTTCCAGAACAACCTGTTATGTGGAACTCTGTCGAAAGCTTTTTTTTAGGTCCAGATAGATGCAGTCAACCCAACCATCTCTTTCCTGTAAAATCTCTGTTGCTCGATCATAGAAGCTGAGTAAGTTCGTTACACAGGATCTTCCAGATCGAAAACCATACTGTCTGTCTGATATTATATCATTTTTCTCCAGGTGTTTTATCCATTTAGTTTTAATTATTTTTTCCAATATTTTGACTATTACACTTATCAATGATACAGGTCTATAATTGAGGGGGTCTTCCCTGCTGTCACTTTTGTAGATTGGAACTTTGTTAACCTTTTTCCACACATCAGCTACAACTCCTGTAAACAGGGATGCCTGAAAAATCAGTTGAAGTGGAATGCTGAGCTCGGGTGCACATTCTCTCAGAACCCATGGTGAAACTCCATCTGGACCAACTGCTTTGTTTTTACTTAGCTCCTTGAGCATTTTTTCCACTTTGTCTCTAGACACCTCTATGTGCTCTGTGTTGTTCTCTGGAATTCTTATTGTGTCTGGTTCCCTGAAGATTTCATTTTGTACAAACACACTTTGGAACTTTTCGTTTAATGTTTCACACATTTCCTTTTCATTTTCCGTGAATCTATTTCCCATTTTCAACCTCTGAATATTATCCTTTATCTGCAGTTTGTAGTTTATAAATTTATAGAATAGACCTGGTTCTGTTTTACATTTGTCTGCAATCCCCTTTTCAAAATTTCTTTCTGCCTCTCTCCTCACTGCCGTGTAGTTGTTTCTCGCATCTTTGTATCGCTGGTATGTTTGGGGGTTTGACAAATCATTTCCCAACTGTAGTTACCGGATGAGAGCTATGCTCATGGTGTTCTGTTCCCAATACTCTGTTATATCACACTTTGAAACTACAGTACTGACAGTTTTGGCATCCACCTCCTCTTCGCTTAACTCGTTTCCACCATCTACCATTCTGTTTGCAAAAGAGAACTTTTTAATATTTTTTCAGCACCTTTGTTCTGATAGTTTGAATCTGTGACCTTTTATTCATGAAGTTACAGGTTTCAAGAATTCCTCTGACAGTTTTGTCGATTCCTGTTAATCTTTTGTATGTAATGATTATGTAACCTCTTTTTCTTCCATCTTCTAGCTTTGTCATATTTTACACCGCTAGTCTCTCTTCTTAGCTCTTGTTTTTCAGTTCCAGAAGCCATTTTGTAGCATGTCTATGCACCTTCTGTTTATTGATATGCTTCTTGAGATATGGACAAGAAGTGAGCATCATACACTGGGCATCATGTACTGGACACCATACACTGGGCACCATACACTGGGCACCATACAATTTCTGTATATTCCAATTTCGGTCTCTCAAAAGTGGTCGCTCGCTATCTCTCTCTCATTCACTCACTCACTCACTGTTCATGACTTTTGTGATAGTAAAATTGGAATATGCAGTAGTTGTATGGTGCCCATATCTCAAGAAGCACATCGGTAAACTGGAAAAGATTCAAAGGCATGCTACAAAATGACTACTGGAACTGAAAGACGAGTTAAAAAAGAGAGGCTACAGGCATTAAATATGTCAAAGCTAGAAGATAGAAAATGAGGCAATATGATCACCACTTAAAAATTAATAATAGGAATTGACCAGATTGATAGAGAAATTCCTGAAACTGGCAACTTCATGAACAAGAGGCTGTCGATTCAAGCTAAGGAAACAAAGGTGCCCAAAAACTACTAGAGGATTTTCTTTTGCAAATAGTGATAGACAGTTGGAACAAATTGAGAAAGTAGTGAAGGCCAAAACTGTCAGTAGTTTCAAGGTGTTGTACAGTACAGTATATGACAGTGTGCTGGGAAGACGGGACACCACGAGTGTAACTCTCATCCTGTAACTTCATTTAGGTAATTACTAAGATACTAGGGAAGATAAAAGATGTAGACGATTGTCATACCTTCAAGAAGACCTGGACAAATTAAGTGTATTGAGCACCACCTGTGATGACTATTTCAGTTGCCTGAAATTTACATTCAACTAGATGAATTCTACCATCTACTGAAATCACTACATATAGGTAAGGCAGTAGGGCTGGATAAGGTCAGCCGACGACTGTTACACCATTGTGCAGACCTGGTGGCTTCGCCTCTCGCACGAATCTGCCAGCTCTGCCTAGCTCAAGGAATTTGGCCCTCTCTATGGAAAAAGGCAGATGTAGTTATGATTCACAAAAGGAAGTGTCATTCATTAATCAGTAATTACAGACTAGTTTCACATTCAACGACTGGAATTTTTTTGTTGAGATATTAATTTTTCATTAAGTGACAATTTGTCAAAAAGATTGATTGACAACCACATTGATTGATCATCATTGATGTTGTAGTTAATTGGGTTTAGGAAAGTTCGCTCTGCTGCTGACCTCTTGCTAAACGTCTTCACTAAGTGGCATCAGACACTGGACGATTCCAAAATAAGTTGTGTTGTTGCACTTGACATTATTGGAGCCTTTGTTTGGGTTTGACATTCTTGGCTACCAGCAAAACTTGAAGCACTTGGTATTTCGGGTATTGTGAGAGGGAGTGTGTGTGTGTGTGCATGAGTGAGAGTAAGAGTTCAACCCATTTTTGCAACAGGAATGAAAACAATTTTTTTGTGATATATGAAGTAGTGAGTAGTTTTCTTGCAAAGGATTATGTTACTCAGGAATTCTTGCCATATACGGTGATAAACAAGTAGGATTAACAGAACAACAGAAAATTAGGTAAGTACGGTATATTGTAATTCTTTTAAGATTGCTTAAAAATATTTCAAATGCTGTTAGAAATTGTTGCTTGGTATATGATATACCAAGCAAGTGCCCTCAGTAGTTCCCCAAGCTAGGCA